GTACACGTTGTGCGCACGTCCCGCGACCACTGTGCGTGCATGCACACGCCCACAGTGCCCAACAGCCGCGCTGGCAACTAGGCTTCTCATGGGATTTTTCCCACGGGAATTTTTCTTATTTCGCCATTTTTTCAATTTTTTTTTCTAAATTTCATTCTCAATTTAATTTAGTTAAATTAAAATTATTTAAAATAAAATAAAATAAAAAATTAAATAAATAAAAATCATCCAAAATTACGAATCATGATAAATGTTAAACAGCATAAATTAATTAAGTTTATAGGGCCAAAGACCCTAATAAATAGAGTTTCCAAATGATTTTAGCACAATGATGGGCGGGATGTTACAAGTAAAGTGCCCGTATGTGCGGGTGTCATGGTTCACACGTGTGAAAGACCACACACGTGTATCAAATGGGCATCCATAACTAAATCACATTTTAGGCTTCCTCTTGGGCTAGGATTTATGGGTCAAGCCTTTCCTCGACCGTAAGGCCCAATAACTTCCTCGTTTCTTGTCTTTTTTGATTTCTCTTTTTCTTGGGATGAGGTTCAAACCCATTTAATCCTGATTCACTACCTTAGCCTCGTACTTAAGTGGATTGATCCTAAGTACTCTCTATTCCAGAACACTTTTGCATATGCCCATGAAACACACATTATTTGACCTTTTTCATCCTCTGTTGGCCACATGAACCTCCTGTTTATCATTAGGCTTTTTCTTAGTTATTATGACATCAATTTATCTCATAAATTGTTACATCACTTGTCTACTCAATCTTTCAGTAAAGTGTACCATGATAGGGTCTCCAAGAAATAGGACTTGACATGTAATTTTGACCTTTTTGGTTCGACAACATATGATTTTATGATAATTTGGGAAAATATTTTTTTTTACTTGAAAAAATGTCCTTTTCTTTTCTTAAATGCTTTTACTTTGAAAAATATAATTCTTTTTTATTTTTTTAAATAATATAAAAAAGTTGAATCAAACCAAAGTCACCAATTTTTTTTTTCTTTTTTTTTAAAAAGTAAAAATAATTGATGGACCAAACATTTTTGTTGCAATTTTGTTATATTTAGTTCAAAATTTTAAAATTTGGAAGCTATTAAATCGTTTTTTGTTCTTAATACATAACGATCTTAATTTCAAAATAACATGTAATTTTATCAAAAAGTTAAGAAATGTTTTTTTTCCTCATTCTAATGCATTAAGTATGTTTAATTCCAAAATAACATATAATTTAATAAGAAATTCAAAAAGATGTTTTTTTTTTAATTATTTCCTAATAAATTAAAGATCTTAATTTCAATTTTTTTAATTCAAATTATGATATATTTAGCCTTAAATGAGGCAAAAAAAAAAGACAATCGGATTACACGCAAAAATTGGAGCCCATATAAAATTTAAGAAAGATTTATTCAAAATGTTTATAAAATTTAAACTTGTTAGTTCAATTCTCCTACAATTCTTATTTAATTTGATTTTTCATTATCCTAATATAATTTAGGCCCTATTTTCATTAAATTAAAAATGAACTAAATTTAAACACTATTTTTAATCGGATCTAATATCTAAACCCAACCCAACGACGACCCGATTCGTATCCCATCTAATCGGTTTAACATCTCCCAACAGATTGTGAATTTTGCTGTCTCCAACTATTACCTGGTTTTTGCATTTGTTCGCGCATTGTCTCTTCGTTCTCGCCCGCACTGGTTTTCTTTGCTTTTCTTCTAGTATTGCCCGCCATTGTATCACAAATTCTCAGATACTCCATAAACATTATATAATAAGCATAAGGAAAGATGGTTGCGATCGAGCCTAGCTTGGAAGACATGTATGAGGAGAAAAAGCGCGTCAGGAATCCCCTCGTTCCTGTCGGTAAAAATCCCTACCATATCTAACTTTTAGTAATTATTTCATGTGTTTTTGAATAATTTTGATCTGGGTATGTGTAAATTTCAGTAAAGTTTGATGCTTTTAGGGCTTAATACTGGTTTCTTCATAATAAGTTTTTGGTTTTCCTCCCTCAGAAAAGAAGAAAGGGAAAATAAAGAACTTGAACTCATTACAGTAATTTGACTGTAGACTGTAGTGAGTTCTTTATTGGGTTTGTGATTCACTGCTAATCTGCAGC